TTGAGTTTGGACGAATTGCAGCACTTCAAATAACACAAAACACTCTCTGCACCGCGCGCAATGGCATTAAAATAAATAATTCATGCAATATTAATAAGAGTGAAATGCCTGTCGCAGCAGTGTGCCTGCGCTCGCTATCCTTATTATCCTTTTTTTCGTTACAAATATCTTTGCTTGATTTTGCGTTCAATTTCGTTGCGCACCATACAAACAAAACCAACGACGACACGACCGTTATTGATGATGATGGTGACGGCGACGAGTATGGCCACCGACTGACTGCACGTCACTCATGCAACACGACACTACTACGACTGTTGGCCGGCCGTCTGCTGGTGCAGCGAATCACTAGGCCCGCTTTTCTTTTTTTTTTCTGGCCAAAAGTGACAGCCAACTATTGGGCACAGTACTCTAATAATATTATTGAGCGCGCGCGCTTACAAGTCAACTAACCCAAATAAGTAGTTCAAAGTATTATTCAGAAAAACCACAACACGACCGTTTGCAGCGGTAGCTCGTCGACAACTGCTCGGCCAAGGGTGCCGCACGCATGCAAACAACCACCCTCGACTAAGAATTCGCTTCGAGCGGTAGCGATAGCGGCCGAACATTGCAAGCCGAATGCAATTGTTTTGTTTACCCTCTATTCGCCCACAATTGCATACAAGCGGCACTTTATTTTGCGGGCAGAACTGTCAAAAGCGATTTTAAATAAGCACCGTTAGTTTTTGGATTTCTTCAGTTGCTTACCCATTTTGCGTGTGTTGCACAGCTCTTCAGAGGTGAGTCGGCGCAGTGCAATTGCGTTCTCCTTGCTGCTCTCTAATGCAATCCTGCTAACTTTCGTTTTCTTGCTCTTCGTCTCGCTCATCGTGTTTTCATATCCTTTTTGCTCTCTCACATACCCTTGCTATCTTTCTCTCGGTGTCGCTGCTGGTTTAGTGATAACATTTTTCCGGTTTGTTTATGTTTTCTTTAGCGTTTCCAACCGGCTTTTCGACCGAACGTGGCGTACACGTAACCTGCTGATTTCTACACAAATGCCCGCAGTCAGCTAAGGAAGAGTCAGCCATCAGTCAACAAGCTAGTGAGTGGGCTATTTTTGTATTCATGCCATCAGTTGTAGGTGTGTTTGTGCGTGTGTGTGTGTGTGGGTGTAGCAAATCACTTAAAGCATCAAATTATTTTATTCGTAACTTCTGTGCAATATAAATATTGCTAAAACCCTGTCAGTTTCGCGCGTGTGTGTGTGTGTTTGAGCATGCCTTGACGTACTTTTACATACATAAATGTCTATCCTTCATTGAAAGTGTTTAATACCCTTGTCAATTTCATCTTTTTGGTAAACAACTTCCCTAAAAGCTACGTCTCACATTGATTTTGTTTGCAAATTTATTCATTTTACATTAGCTTTCCATTTTTTATTGAATCAGTATTTGATGTTTAGGTGAATTTATTTATTTTGCTTCAGCTCTTTTTATGATATTTTTTTAGCATAATAAAGTGTTCGATTGTGAATAAAGCTGTTAAATCGGCAACTTAGTAGCGCTTAGGTTAAACTAATATTATCAAAAGAGACATATGTATCTAAATGATTTAAAATTCGCCAAGCAAGAAAACAAATTTACATACATAGTTATATGTATATGTATGGTTTTTGTTTAATTCAATTTAAAATGAAAAATTGCAGAAAAGAAAAAACCATGTGTTATGTAACATGCGGAATAACGCAAAAAGGCAAAAACAAAGCTGTTCTGAGCAGCTTTTCAGTAGTTCTTGAAATGGAAGGGAAGTTCTAGATATTTTAACAAAATAATCAGTTAAAAATTTTTTTATTTAGATTTCGAGGCCTCTTCTACGTCCCATCCCCATTTTAAAATTTGACCTGAGGAATTATGTAGGCGGAGTTTTCGGCCAATTTTCCCAAGCTGCTGTGAGCAAACAGTTGGTTTATAAACTCTCCCGTAATTATCAGACTTACCGCCCAATTCTGTGTTTTCTTGATAATTTTTTTGTAAAGAAATTTTATCAAGATTTTTATCAAGTAGAAGCTTCCTTCGCATTCTGTGTCAATATTTATAAAACAAAAAGCTCTACGACTTCCACATTAGTGGAACTGATTTCCACATGAGTGGAACTGATTTCATTGTCACATATGAAAAGTATGAAATTAAAAGCGAAAAAGCTTTTGACTGCCGTAGCCGAGTAGGTAGAGATGTCGACTATAATTCCGTGTGTCGTAGGTTCAAATGCCGGCACATGGAGTATTTAATTGTTAGAAACAAATTTATTAAGATACAAAACTTATACAATTAACATGAAATTTCAATTTGTCAATAGCATTTTCAATCTTGATAATTTATCAAGAAAAGAGCTTTTGATTTCTGTGCTAGAATACCAATTCTTGATAAATAATAAAAAATTTACAAATTATAAAGATTTTCAATTTATCAAGTGCACAGAATTGGGCTGTTAGTGCCAACTTTGCCAAGAGCTCACTTAACCCGAATGAAGCACCCATAATTTGACGGGAACTCTAGAACAATTGAAAAGCTACTCAGAACACTTTTTATTTATATATTTTTTTTCCAAACATAAACTTTTTCGTCTTTTCCAAAAAAGAAAAGTTTGTTCGATGTAATTTGCAGAACATTTTTCTTTTTCAGGAGCTCTAGAACTAATAAAAGCTACAGTTTTTCGAGTTTTTTGACAAAAAAAAAATCGGTGTAAGAATTCGGGTAAGAAGAAACTGTAATAATAATAGACCTTGTGGATAAAAACTTAGCAATTACTGTTTCTTAAAATTTTAGACCTTTAACTTAAATTTCTTTGAATAAATCGATAACAAGGTCTGAAATTTTAACAAAAAGCAATTGCTAAGTTTTTATTCGTAAGGGCTAATGAAAAGCCAATCAGATCAGTTTTGATTTTTATTTTTTCACAGAGTAAATTTTTATTTGGCGTAAATAACTTTGCAGAACTTTTGTTTTCCTTTTCAGGAACCCTAGGCCTATTGAAAAGCTACTCAGAACAGTTTTTATATATTTCTTTTTCAAGAATTAAAACTTTTCTACTTAATTTTTATTCCATGTAATTTTGCTGAACTTTTTTTTGCTTTTCAGGTGCTCTAGAACTATTAATAGCTACTTAGAACAGTTTCAGTTTTTATTTTTTTCAAACATTGAACTTTTTGAAAAAATCGTTGTAATTTTGCAAATTGTATTGGTTTTTTTTTCATTTTAAGAAACTCTATAGATAATAGGCCTTATGAAATAAAAACTAAGCAATTGCTTTTCCTTAAAATTTCAGAACCTTTACTCAAATTTCTTGGATTAAATCGATTAAAAGGTCTAAAACTTCAAGAAAAAGCAATTCCTAAGTTTTTATTCATAAGGCCCAATGAAAAGCTACTCAGAACAGTTTTAATTTTTATTTTTTAATTTTATTTTTATTTTTTCGTTAGAAACGACCTCAAATAAAATAAAACTGTAAAATACTTTTTTAGACATTACACTTCCCTGGTGTTTTTTTTCTTTTTGACACATGTCCCATTCTGCGCGAATCTGGCATAAGAAATTTTTGGGAAAAATTTTTCTTTATCTTAATATCCAGAACTTTTCCAAATTTATCCAAATTTTTTTTTTTCTTTTTCAAGAACTATAGTACTATTGAAATCTTACTCACGCCCTAATGCGTTGTTGAAAAGTTTTTTGAGATAGGGCGTTTTCGAACTGGCTGCCGAGATAGGTCGATCTTCCACTCAGAAGTTGATATGTACCTGCAGCAAAAAAAAAAATGTCTAAAAATTAACGCGATTTTTTTGCAACTTGAAACATTCCAAAACTTAATGGGCTACAAAAATGCATCAAATCGAAATTTTTTGAAAAGGTATAAAAGAAACATAATTTGAGAGATTTTTCGATACTTTAAGGCTCTTTGGGAGACCGTTAGTATTATCCGATCGGAAACCGGTTTACCCGGTTTAAGCTCATCCCAAAATAATAACTGGTGGTGGTATGTATTAATATTGAGACTTGTCTTGAAAATGATATAAAATATTTTTTGGATAAGTATGCGTTCTGGTGTTACTTTTTCACAAACTTTAGTTGTTATATTTTTGGTTCAAATTTTTTAAATTCTTGATCTTTACACTCAAAATGAATAAAGCAAGTGGCGCTAGATTTGAGTAATAACATAAGACTTAGTAATATCGTCGTCGAAGTCTTCGGTGAAATATAAAGGCATTTTTAAAATATCGATTTAATTTTACAGCAGGTTTGAAATGTACTACATTTTCACATTTCTAAAAGAGTTTACTATTCCAATTTACTTAATTGCTAAGCTTGCTGTCAGTTTTGCATAGATTTGTCATTCTAGAAGTTGACAATGGCTAAAATCACTGTTCTTGCTGGCAATTCCGCTTAACCGAATTGGCTGCACAAGAAACGTTAATCCAGCTACATAAGACGGGTATGTGAAAATCCAAACGTGAGCAAACCAACATACACTTCAAAAAGTTGCAAACATAGACCTACATACATATGTACATAAAGAAGTTCAGTCGAAACAAAGATATGAGTTGATATGTAATTAGTATACAAAGACCAACTTCAATTCAAGTGTCCCCAATCTGCCGTTGTAGCACGAAATTGGCAGTCAAGTCTGCAACCGCTCCACGCAACTGCTCGCAATATGTAGTAGAGCGACGAAGCGTTGCTCGAAAATTCTAAAATTCCACCCAAATGTCTGTAGGCAAAGCTACTTTTGTGCGCACCGTTGTCGGTGGATGCGCTGACGCTTGTTGTTGCCTCCGATTGGTTGGTGGTTAAAACCCGACTCAATGGCTAAGTGCGGGCTGACTAGGAGCGACAAGTGTTTAATATGCCACAAAAGTAGATGATTCTATAAGTACACTGCGCGCATACTCCCTTCACTTTGCCGCAGCGCACTTGTAACATTGTTGTCAACTTTATTTACAAGGACTTTACATTTCATTGCAGGGCAACAGGACAGTGAATGAAAATCAGCAGGAAGAAAACCGCAAACGAACCGCACGAGTAGAGTGTGCCGAATCCGTGGATGTAGTAGTAGTTGTAGAAGAAGAAGAAGTACAACCGCAGAAGTAAGCGCACGCACGCACGCACGTACCCACACACACAGCAACACACTAGGACGCAACATAATAAACGAAATTCCAGGAACATGTTGGCCACCGCCGCTACCACCGCCACAGCAGCCACATCCACAAAAGTGACAATGCTGGCTAACATTGGTACAATAAAGGCATCGACCAGCATGCTGATGACAACAACAAAAACAAATGATGCAACGACAAAAACAACAACAGTTGCTAAAATAGCGCCACAAAACGACACAACAGCCACGGCAACGATGCCATCAATAACAACAGTGACAGCAACAGCAACAGCTATGCCAACAACAACACCAGTAACTAGAACAATAATAAAGATTACCTCAGATCCGGGCATTTTGTGCTTTCATCATTGCAACGTAAAAGTTTTCTGCCTTCATTTGCCACACCGCTGCCCCAAATGCAAACAAGTATTAGACACTGACGATGATGTTGGCGGCAATGGCGATGTCGGCGATGACGATGAAGACGAAGGTGAGGACGACGGCGACGGTGGCGACGACGACGCCTATGACGACAACGATGCTGGTGGTGGTGGTGGTAATGAAATGGGCAGCAATGGTTGCAACAGCACTGCTGGTGCTGGTCGACCGTTGGGCGGTGGTATCGTTGGCTCTACACGTTTGCTGCCCTTTCGGTTGCCTTATCCGTTCATACGTGCCTCGCAGTATCCCTGTGCGATTGTTTTGCGTCCAACCACAGGCGATTTTCTCAAGTGAGTATCTGACTGTGCGTAAGTTATCTTAATAACAATGTGTATTAGGGTGGTCCTTAAAAATATAAGCGTCTAAAAATTGTATGTGGAACCCTGTGGAAGCCTTAGTTAATGTACTTATAGAATATTTTTAGAAGAGTTGCCACCTTTTTCTAAATTTAAAATCAATTAATAAGTTAAATAAAGTACTACAATGCCGGTGCCAAAAGGAAGGAATTGAAAAAAAAATAAAAATAAAATTTTAAGGGTGTTGCCATCTGCAAAAAACTTAAATTCATATTATAAATAAGCTCAGTAAATTTTCTCAACAATGTGGATTTGAAACGAACGGGGTTTAATACGATATATTTCGAAACATTATTTTAAGAGCGTTGCCACCTGTTCAAAAAGTTAAAATGCATTTAAAGCTACACGAAATATTTTAGTATGGGTACCAAAAAAGAGTGCTTTCCTAAATCTTTATTTCAAATTATTTTTAGAATAGGTTTTCATATTATTAAAATTTATTCATTTGAATTCATTAACTTGCTAAGTTAATGCTAGTCAAATTAAAAGTTTTGTACAGATTTTTGCGATAATTTTCTTTTTTACAAATCCTGCTAGCAACCCCAGTTTTTTTTCAAGTTTGAAATTTTTGTGGCTTCTTTATTATACTTTTAAAATTCAAATTTATTCATACAAATTTATAAACTTGCTGAGTTACAGTACAAGTTTTGTAAAAATTTCGAAAAAAAAATTTCAAACCCTGTTAGCGAATTTCAAACCCTTTTAGCGAAAAAAAATTTCAAACCCTGTTAGCGACCCCATTTTTTTAATTTTGACAAAATTTTGATATTATAAGGACCACCTTAATGTGCATTTACATGTAAATATGTATATACCTGTGCCGAATACAAGTGAAGAAAGAAATCGTCAAAAACTTCTGCCTTATACGAATAAAGTATTTTGGTGGCGAGACCAATTCCTGCCACTCCGTAACTTTTGACAATTTCGTGACTAGACAACCAATCATCTCTCAGCTAATAGCTTCGAACTCCATACGAATCTAACTCGATATAGCCGGGAAAAACCCTGAACTAGTCACGAACGTGTCCCATACTGGACCCGAAATGGTGGCGAACTAATGGTGAAATGGTCCCGAAAAAGTCCTGAACTAGTCCCGAAATGATTCTGAACAAGTCTCGCCTTTATAATTCTTACAAAAATATTGATGACTTTTCTAAAACTCCATGAAGAGATACATAATTTTCATTCTGGATCTCGGCTTTGAGGACTTCGAGAACCCTTTAAAAGCTCCGTATCTCGATGGTATAGTACTTCCTAAGTCCATCGAAATCGACACAGCTGCACATAAGAAACGTGATTCCTAGCGTTTGTCCTTAAACCGGAACAAAGAACCAATTAGTATATTCACCTCCAGTGTTGCCGCGAAACATTTTTAGTGGTAGCTAAATTCCAGCTAAAAAAGGGCTAACAAAGAGCTTAAAATCGTCGTTGTGGCTAAAAATGGTAGCTAAATTTTTTTACCTACATCTTAATTATAAGAAGTAATTTTTAGCAAAAAAAACCGGATCTCAACCAGATTAGGATGGGACCACCTCTGAGACACTGCCTTTCCGATGCAAAAAGAATTATCGAAATCGGTTGACGTGGTCCAAAGTTATGCGGTAAACATAAAAATAAAAAAAAATAAATATTCCGACGAACTGATAACCTTCTCCTTTTTTGGAAGTCGGTTAAAAATAAGTGCACGTTTTTGGTGTGACCTCATAACTTGAGAACAGCTTCACCGAATTCAACCAAATTTATGTGGCATATTCGATTTATCATGCAGATGGTTTACGCGAAGTTTTCCCGAATTCGGAAGAGGGGGCGTGGCACCACCCATACTAACTAAAATATAAAAATAAGTGAACGTTTTTGGTCTGACAATATAAATTAAGAACGGCTTCACTGAATTCAACCAAATTTATACGGCATATTTAGGCTATCATGCAGATGGTTTATGTGAAGTTTGCCCGAATTCGTAAAAGGGGGTGTGGCACCTTCCATACTAACCAAAATTTAAGTATAGTTAAATCGTTAACGGATAAGATAACGGCCCAGAAACGTAAGGAACATACATAGACATATGTTTACTTGCCTTAAAGGAAAGGCGTTCGCTTTATGAGCGAAGAGTTAAATTCATGAAAATCATAAAAAAAAATTTAATGTGAATGATGAATAAATTTTGAAAAGGGCTAAAAAAAGGGCTAGGGGCAATTTCAAATTTTTGTGGCCAAAAAAAGAATTTGGTAGCCAAATTTAGCCACCAAAGGGCTAAAACGGCAACACTGTTCACCTCTATACTCGCTCCTAGAGATTTTTGAATAGTTCCTCTTGCAGCTTGACTACGCGATTAGTGTCTACAGTGACCTTTAGTGGGTAGAGATGATATGACGGCAGTATTTTAACCACTACCTTGGATCTTTGTCGTTAATAACTTACAGGAGTCTCTATTTATTGTCCTTTAAGCTACTTGATTTTTTTGTGATGCGTTTGAAAATGTGAGAGCGTGCTTGATTTGCATCTTGGCGGTACCAGAATACTTCGGTATTAAGCTTATATGGCTTCCATGTCATGTGTAGCGTGATTGGAGGGAACTACAGTTCCGATGAAGGCAAGACAATGCACGCTGGAACAGTTTTCACCGGGTAAAGAGAGTGGTTGGCTTCATTGGCTACATTTCGTCTGCTAAAGAAAAAAGGGACACCTAGTTAAGTGCGCCGGGAGAAAATCTCTGAATGCAAAATGGCTAAGTCCTTCTGTTCAAGCATTGCTCAGAGGTGGTCAAAGAGCTCTCAAAGCTAAACAATCTTTTTGTATCTCAATCCTGGTAGTCTTAAAAGGCAATTTTTTATTGGAATCCTGGAAGCAGTTAGTGATACATTCCCATGGAATATCACAATATTAAATCATCTCAGCATCTGTCCGTTGGGTGTCCAGCTGACGTGAGATTAAGACTTATACGCATGAGATTTTCTTCCTTTTCACTGCTAATCAATTTTCAGTAATGCACTTTAGCTGCTCGTGAAATTATAATGTGGCACCGATCGTTGTCCTGCCACTATCACCGTTAAATTGTCGTCATTTTTTCCGCAAAAAGCTGCCATCTATGCTCCGTTCTTCTTAAGCTTCTGCGTACTCTTCGAAGAATGAAACATTCAATTTGCGAAGCTTAATATTCGTTATTGAATGTTTCAGCAAGTGGTGTATTGACCGACCATTATATATGCCGTCTAATCGTACTCTTAACTGCACTTATGCTTCTGGTGGAAATAGGCTGTAACACCCTAATATCGAAAATCAGATTAGACTTTTTGTGTACTTCTTTATTGCATGAGTCATAGACATACTAAATAGATAAGTTCTTTTTACCTTTCCAACTAAATACTGTTTTGGAATTATGATTACGCGCTTTCTTATGCACTGTCTTCCCCAGTACTTGTATGCACTGGTAAGAGAGCTAATGTGTTTTCAATCCTCAAATATACTTTCATAAGATCTGATTGTCCTTGAGCTAGAACCTGAGCCCCACCAGCTCTTCGCCGCCGACTCTGAAAAGCTGAGCTATATATTATATCGTCGCATCCTGGGGCCTTGTTGTTTTTAAGTCACATTATTGCTGCTTTCGCTTCGTCTTGGTCGCGTGTGGGATGTAAGCTTCTTCCCTCTACATTAAATCTATATTCGAGCTGCATTTTGGACGTCTGTTAAAAGATATTCATCCTAAGATTTACTAGAACCAGTGCTGACTTTGAAATCATTTCATCGCAGTCTTACTTTAGATATAGTATGCAGACCTACTTCGTAAAAATACGCATCTTCTTTCATTCCTTATCCTATACTAAAATTTTTTTTTATAGCCTTCCACCTTACTGCCCGCATTGATTCGCTTCCAATAATGGCGTTTTAATTTCCTTCCAACATTTCTTGACCACTTGAAATGCTGTTCATTTATTTCTCGATTTATCAATCTCCCACAGCGATTACAACAACTCAACCGATTTGCATATTGCCGTGACGACCTCAACGGGCTGCGTTGTGGAATTCGATCGGCATGGTTTGCGGCGACATCGTGCCGATAATACTCGCACGACCGAATGGTGGCAATGTCTGTTGGTCGGCGACGTCCCCGAGCCATGGTATGACTATTGGGACGAGATATTGCAGCAGGTAAGTTACATATGTAGGTATGCTTGACAACAACAACAAAAACGAGCATAGTGCAGCATAAGCATGGCATACTCGTATATGGCTTCAGCATGCTTCAATGCATGCCTACTACAAAGAATCTAAGGCAATTTGTGCTACTACTATTAGGCTTTGTACTTGCATTTGTATTTGTATTTTCACATATATACATGCGTACTTGCCTATTCTTGCGCAAATGCTCACATCTGTTTTTATCCACCCGCAGATATGCAATCAGCCTGATCGCTGGACCGTCGCCCATTACCAGGAGGATAGCCACAATTGTTACACATTCGTATTGGCATTTCTGCAGGCGCTCGCCTATGATAAGCTCAGTGCAGCTGCACGTTCCAAAACGAGCTTCTGTGAGAAATATATAGTTCCTAGAACCACAACAGCTGGCAAGTATATATCCTTGTATCGCAAGTTGCGGGATATGGGCATTTATGTGCATCCGCATCATCAACACCAAAGGCATGCTGTGCTCATGAAGCAGCAACAAAAGCAACAACAACAGATACACTATCACAGCCTACAACAATCGAAGCATCAGCAGCCGCACCAGGCGCAGCAGCAACAACTAAAGTCGGCACGTGACAAGTTGCGTCTAAATGGGCATATTACGGGAAGTTCAACATCCTCGCTGTTGGCTAATGGTGGCAAGGCAACCAGCATCATTTTACGTGCACCTAATCTCTGCACCATCGAAGAGTGATGCATACGGTTCGCCATTTCGTTGGTCATTCACGCAATCAAACATTCATTTAAGTACTTAGTGGGTCAGCCCAGCAGATATGCAACAATGTGTTAACCAATTAATTGAAAAGGCAGCATTTATGTAGAGCACACAACTACCACAAACACTACTACATACAAATATGTAAGCAATCAGCGAGAATAGCTGCTAAGGACCACAAGTATGCACGAATTTGTGTAGTCAAGTGTAACAAGCCTTTCCTGCCAGACAGTAGCCCAATTGCCCAAGTGCCCATTGCCAGCCAAAAGCCAACAAAAAAAGCCAATGTTCCTCAATAATGCATTCTTTGTTCACCTTTGTGATTACACTTTATTGAACTTTGAAAGGATATTGTATTTCTTTAGAAATTTCTTCCAACTTACTTTTAGCGAATATTTAAAACACTATTGTGTTTTAACAAAGCACTCTCTTTTAGCTTGGTGAAAAAATGTTTTTCCTTCCACTCTGGTCTCTTTATTCTTAAAAATATTCCTAAAAACTTAGTGGAAGTAGTTTATTTTTGCGTTAATTGAATTTTCTTTATGTAAGTTAAAAGTCAATAAATAAAGTTAGTTAATTGAAAGTTGCTATTTTTTACTTTTTCGTGCGGAAGGTTGAGAAATGGAAACAGTGATGGGTAGGTGTTTTTTCATAGAAAACTTAATCTTTATTATTTTAAAATAGAAATTTTTGTAGATCTTAAAGTCGTCTTTTTCAGAGAATATGTGCAGCAGGTTAACATATCCAGCCCTATCCGCCAAAAAGGTGTAAGCGACATTTTTCTTCGAATCTTTTTTTGATGCTTAAATATATTTTTCTCCTTCTTGATTGGCGCTTTATCCGCCTAAACGATTTTGGCCGAGTCCAATGAGCACGCTAGTCTTGGAGTTCCTTTCTGTGTCAACTGACCAAAAAATACCAAATGCAGCTAAGTCGCTCCACCTGGTCTTTCCAACGCAGGCGAGACTATGGCAGACATGACCAAGCCAGCGTAGACGCTGTAGTTCAATTCTATATCTTTGTAAAGCTCATCTTTAAACTGTCTGCGGTATTCGCCATCCCCAACGAGCAAAGCCTCGTAAATTTTTCTCTCGAAAACTCTAAGAGCCGCCTCATCAGATGCTTGCATTGTCCATACCTCCGCTCTATCCACTAGCACGGCTAATGACTTATAGATAGAGAATGTGATTTTTGTTCGCCGAGCGAGACGACTTTAGTTCTCAGTTGCCCACTCAGTCCAAAGTACCACTTTTTGGTAACAGCGACATGGGTGCCAAGACGCTTCTGCTCAGAGTGTTTTTCCTCGTTCACCACAAGACCCATCAACTTTACTCGTCTATCTAATTTCGAGAAGGTAGAACAGAGGTAGCCCTTTCTTTTACCGATGATGTCGATGCCGTCGTCAAACGCCAACAGTTTTACGCTCTTGTAAAGTATTCGACTCGAGTTTGTGTGCCCTCCATTATTTAATTACGTGCTGTATGTAGACATTTTGGGACTCGGAAATTTGGGATTAGAGTGTTCAAGGCACTCCCTCAGAAGAAAATAAACTCGGAGAACAAAAGCTTATTCGTTACAAAGAAAAAAAATATAAGAATGAGTCAGTCGCTTACCTAAAATTAAAAAAAATGATTTGGAAAGGCGCTGATATTGCCATACTGGTAATTTTCAAACACAGAATATTCAAGGATTTTTTTTCATGAAGCATCGTCAGCCGTCTAAATTATAAAAAAAATCGACACGTTAAAATGCCGCGCGATCAACCGTAAGGAGGGTAACACGGCAAATTCCAGCGTCTTCACCACATACGAGGTTATCACTGGGAAGGCGACCGTTGAAAGTATACCAGAAATGGCACTGCCTTAACTCAGCCTAGCCGTGGTGCAAGAAGTTTGTTTTGGCGAGACCTACATGCTCGTACCTGTCTTCGCTTATTCGCACACTCAGAAGCGGTAACATCCTTTCGAATGTCATTATCACATCCTGAGAAAATAGTGGGACAAAGCCGCCACACTCATCCGTTTGAAACCTTGCACCAGCAGATTTGGCAGATGTAATAGCAGGGCTGCCAGACACCACACATAAATATTTCTCTTGCCTGCGCTTTCCCTCTCTCAATAATGCAAAGTAACTAGTTTTACAGTTTGATCCGATGGTCAGGGTGCAGTTCAGCGTTCTTGCCAGGGTATTTCGGTGTTTGAGAGGGTACTCCTCCTGTCATCGTCCTATTCGGGTCATTCGCATCAGTGCAAGCTTGTCTTACTACGGGTACATGCCAAAATCCATATCCCGCAGGTTCCCATATATATACGGTGACCATATTAACCAACGTAAAATAAAGAACTTTTTTTCAAAATGATTTGGGAATGCTTACATGCAACTTTTATGATAAAAGTACCTTACACATATCGTAATTTAAATCAAATATTTGCCAGTTAATTATATTATTTAATTGTATAAGTTACCCTGCTGTAGCGAAAAAGGAAGGCAAATCCTATTCAAGGACTTCTCCATCCTTTGCTACCAAAATGCGTTTATCTTAATTCATACTGCACGACGAAGCCAGCACACAGTGGTTCAAAATTAGACTTCAATGTTCATAATCCACCGGAGCATTCATTTTTCAACAAATTTTTAATAAAAACCAAAAAAGAATATATTTATTTTGGTGAACATTTTTTTTAACATTTCAATTTTTTTTTTTGATTTGGGAGAACCATACAATTGTTTTCAGCTGGTTTTTGTTATGTAACGGTTATTAACTGTAACAGGAGAATACATTTTCTTCAAAATTGCTACTTTTTCCGCATTTTGCACTAAAAAATTTAATATAATCCAAAAACTGATCAAATTAAGTGAAAAATTAAGTAAAAATTAAGGACAAGTAGCGTCCTTTATTTAAAAAAAATAAAAATAAAGGACAGGGAGTTAAAATAAAGGACTGTCCTTTAAAATAAAGGACGGATGGTCACGGTATATATATATGTATATCAGAACCTGGGAGAAAGACTTCTCAATTTTATATGAGTTTGTAAGCTTTTTAAGTCCATTTTTTAAATTTCGTCTGCACTTTTCCAGATATCTATTTTTATGAAGAAGTTTTCTTCAAGCATTTCTGTGAAAGTATTCTGATAATTTATTTATATTTTGCCAACGAAACGTTTTCAAGATTGCAACTGATTCGCAGAATCCTATATTAAAATGCAATGATAATGGCAACAAAGTGCAGAACTGAAAACAACCGCAACGCCGAGTAAATGGAGCGCAGCTTATTTGAAGGGGCCAGCGCTGAGGACGAACGATTACCTCATAACCTAGAAACAAACAAAGAAAAAAGAATGGGAAAGCAGCAAAAAAGAAGTGGCATAAAAATAAATCCGATTTAAATTCGTAACGAGCAAAAGTCAGGCGCTCGCATTGGCACCAACGTTCTTAACCTACCCCACTGAGCACACCATGGCGCTGCTCCTCATTATTCGCACGTTTCGCGTTGCCAAAGAACACAATGCCAACGATTAAAGCTGCTGCTGCTGCTGCTGCTGGTGCAACGGCAATAAGCACAGAACAATGATAGTTATAATAATAACAATAATACGAAGAAAAACAATTGGAAGGGAAACAAAAAGTGAAAGCAACAACAATAAGCAGCAGTGGCAGCGACGAAAGCAACAAAAGCGATAATGATGAGCATTGCAACGATAATGGTATCCAATAATGACGCCGGCTATGCTCTTCATAATTATTATGTTTGCCGCGTTGATTCTGCTGCTGCTGCTGGTATGCTGATAGCACTGATGGCAACAATGGCAACGTCTATTTGCAACAATTATGAGCGTACAAACGAAATCGTTGCAGTTGCTATCAGCAGTTGTTGACATTAATGCCACTTTAGCTTGACAGGTGCGAAGGGTGATGATGATGTTGCGCACCAAACAGGGCGCACTAGGGGATGAGTTAGAATGAAAGCAAGGGCAGGGCGGTAGGAGAGAGAGGAGGAAAAATCATTATTTTGCGAAAAATGTTGCTGGATTCAATTGAAAAAGGAAAACGAAACCAAAACTGCAGCAATTCAAATTTCGAGGAGCAGAAACAAATTACAAACAACAGCAGCAATTGCACGCTCAGTTGCCTAGACACAGTAAAGGTATTGTCAAAGCGCAGAAGAGAGGTATTTATGTATATACGTGTGTATGGGTTGCGTCTATTCCCTGCAGTAAAATTTGGAGACAGTCTGACAAAGCGCTAGATCCGAACTACATATTTCAGAACTATCTCTGAACTGGTGCAAAACGGCTGCAGAACGAGACAGTTGAAGGTCTTGGTGTGCTAGTTGCGCTCTGTTGAGAAGTAAATGCACAAATTCTCATTTCTCGTACAATACTAAATAGCTCAGCGGGAAGACCTCGTTGGTCGCGAGTTCAAATCGCGGTGGAGGCAGTTGTGATTTTCAGATTTAATAAATTTAAATTGTTGAATGCCGCTTAAAAATTGAAGCGAAAATGATAAAATTTAATATAAATAAAATAAGAGAATAAAAATATTAAATAAAATGAACAAATTAAAAAATTAAAAAAATATCAAAAAAAATCGAATAATCAAATTTTTTTCATAAAAAACTTATTGTTGCAGATCTGTCCAAAATGGAAACAGTTCAGAAAAGAAAAAATATCCAGAAATCTAGTTTTAAAATTTTTTCTCATAAAAAACTTATTGTCCCAGAACTGACGAAAATTTAACCAGTTCAGAACTAGTTCGAAAGTTCTGCAGAGGTGGCAATTTCCACTTCGTAGGACATCGCCATGTAAAAAGAGACAATTGAAAGCATTGCGTTGGGATAGATCGAGAACCAGTACCCGCTCTTAAAGAGCTAGTTCTGCGCTAGTTCAGAACTAGCGCAATTTACTGCAGGGTTGTTGCTGACAACCTCTGCCTCCGCCATCTGCTCAGCCTTCTTCTGCTACTCTGCCTGTTATACGCAAACCACTTTGTCATTTGACATTTGCGTGTCTGTGCTATTATCCATTCAATTTTTTTTTTTGGTTTTCCTTTTATCATGTAAAAGGTGTAAAAGGTATTGTTTGTTGTTGCAAAAAAATTCAAAAAGAATGCGGCGTGCAACAATTTGTGGCAAAATCGTTGCGAAAAAAAGTTGAAATGAACAAAAAAAAAAATCAAAAAGGAAATTCAGTTGTGAGTGCGTGATATTTTAAGCATACGTACATACATATCTATATGTGTACTTAAGTACATATGTGTTATGCATGTATGTATATATGTATATACATAAGCTGCAGACGTTGATAGTGGGGATTTGCCTTTTTTCGGTACGCTTAAGTACCATCCACTTTTGCTTTAGCACCGTTCTCATTCAAATAAATCTCCTCATTGCCGATTGTATTTCAGAAATGTGAGTCTTTTCCATTTGCTACCCTCTAGGAAAAAAATCTTGCTGCAGTGAAATATATATTCAAATTTTTTTGTTTACAGGCCA